TTGACGCTTCATTGGACAATCTTTGAAATACGGAGACTCTTGTTGAATTATTCTTAGAGCATCCGCATTCTGTCAACACTGCTTTAATGAGTCTCTCGCAAGCGCAATGAGACTCATTTTCTCTGACAACTCTCTTTCTTGAGTTATCTTTCTGATAGTACAGCTCATCATTATTGTGATTCGAGCAACCTATCTTTCGCTTTTGAACTTTGTTAACATGCACAGGACGACTGGTCGTCGCCTCTGAGCGATCCAAAGTTGAATGTTTAAATCCACCCCCTTGCGGGTGTGGAGTTTTCAGAGGTCCTAAACGAGAGTGAACTGGTATTCTCTCGTTTTGGACTTGTGCAGTTCTGACAGGAGGGTGTTTACGACCCCCTGCATATGAAACCATTAATGGTTTATTTGCCGGACATGGTTGTTCCTTGACTGGGGCTTTGCCTCGATCATCAACTGAAGGACCAAGGCGATCTGCCATTGTTATCTTGAACTTGGACAAATCTGGGCTAACCCAGGGTTCTACTGGTGTTGCAGTAGACGGGCCCGGAACAGATGCTTGTGGCGTCTTTGGCATCCAGACTTTACGATTCTTCGGTGGCCTTTCAGTCACCGCCTCTTTCTTGGTTTCTTGCGCTCGTTGACGAAGAGCGCGAGCGTGGGCAGCCTTCGCCTTACGCCTTTGTATCCGTTCTTTAAGGGTTGAACGGGCCCTTTTGACGAGAGTCCATTCCTCCGTCGTAAGCTTTGCAGAAATATGATTATCTTGCCATTGAGGCAACTGGGTCATTTTCTGTTTTCTCGACTTTAGGTCCGCATAGTAATGGACCCCGTCGGTTTGTTGCATGGCCTTAGCCAATTGTCGAGCACGGCGCTGACGCTGTCTCTGACGAGCTCTTTTCGTCAGCACCGGTGAGCTATTGATCAACGACTCCGTAACTGGTGTAGAGTCGTTTTGAGCAGGGACGTTGCAAGGAGATTCCTTAACAACGATCGAGCCAGAATCTTTGTCTGCGGCCTCCGTTGGAATTGCAGACTTGAAATTTTTCGAAATCTTCCTATATTTGCGAGACGAGGAAGATTTCGCGGATGAGGATGATAAATACTCCTCAAACTTCGCCTGATCGAATTCGTATTCGATCTCTTCATTGATGATGATCTTGATCGGTTGCGACACCGCGGTCTCGGCAGCGAGACCGCTGGCTCCCACTGTGGTCGCCAGCTTGTTTGGTTCAAAAGTCGCTGCTGTGGAATTCATTATAACTTTGTTCGATTACAACAAATTCGAAAGAATAATCTTTTTATAAGACTTTTTCTACACAACAAAACAAAAATTACAACTCTTGAGAAACAAACACGAAAATCGTCTATCAATTCTCGTTTTCGTGGGACTTTGCCTGTGCCGGGAACGCTTTGGTTCGTGGACCGCCGATTCACAGATCGTGAAGAGGGGGCTTATGATTCTAACTTCGTTATCGAAGTAGAAATTGAAACGATATCTTATCGAAGTAAGATAGTCGTTCTTCTTAAAATCAAGTCGAAGCTTAATTTCAAGGCGTTGCAAGAAAAGAACTCAAATCTCTGCTCTCTCTGCTCTGGAATGCTCTAACAAATGCTCGATCCTCGTCAGAAGTGACCCTAGGGGGGTATTTATAGCCTCAAGGGTCTGTAACTGCAAAAACTTAACAATCGAAGAAGTCAGTACGGCGAGACAGTGTTTACTGTCTCGCTGGGCGAGACAGCGTTTGCTGTCTCGACCCGCGAGACAGTAAATTTGCTGTCTCGCTCAGCGAGACAGTAAATGCTGTCTCGGAAAATGGCAGTTTCTCGCTGTAACTGTTCTTCCACGTTTCAAACTCCGTTATTTTGGCAGTTATCCACGTGATTTTCGCCCATGATGTTTCCCACGTCCCTTGGCAGTTAATGGACACGTGTAGGGCAGTTACAAATGTAGTTTTGACTATTTCAACACTGTCTCGCTGGCGGGACAGCAAAGACTGTCTCGCTGTCGAGACAGTTCATACTTGTTTTGATTTTTTCAAAACAGTATGAAATCCTTTCTTGTGAATTTTTGAGTGATCTTCTCTATGCTTGGGATATCTATTAGCATTTTTTGACGCCTACAGTGTGTTGTGCGGCCAGACTTTTCAAGCTCATCATAAAAGCAACACCAACCATCTCAAACGCCATATAAAAAAAACACAACAAATGTCAGAATCCTCAAGGTGATATCCGACAATTTATGATTTCCCAATCCTCCTCTTCTGGTAGTCTCGGTAGTTGGAATTATGGCGCTGCTCGAGTCAGGAAATGCGTAATCAGGTTTATCGTTCTTAAAAACCTTCCTTTTAAATTAGTAGAAGATGATGAATTTGAAGATTTGTTTAGAGATGGTTTTTATCCATATTTACAAAATTTTATCGTCAAACCTAACAACGTGATATTTTAAAATATTATCAGGAGGAAAAAGGAAAAATAATTTCTTATTTTAAAAATTTAAACTGTAAATTTTCTTTAACTTCTGATATTTTGACATCTAGAGTGTAAACTGGTTATTTATGTATCACAGCATATTGGATTGATAAAAATTGGCAAATGTTTAAAAGAGTTGTTTCTTTTATTACAATTGAAGAGTCACATACTGGTATTAATATTGCAAATTTAATAATTGAAGAACTTATAAAACTAGAAATTGATCAAATAATATTTTCTCTTTCACTAGATAATACAAGTAATAACAATGTAGCTGTTGATTTTGTCAAAACAACTCTATCATTATCATGTCATGGTGAACTTTTTCATGTTAGATGTATCTGTCATATTTCATGGTGAACTCTATCATCAACCTCTTAGAAAACAGAAGAAAAATTGAAACCCTTGACATAGATCCATCGTCAAACCCTAGCTAGCTAGGGATCGAAGAGAGAGAGAGAGAGAGAGAGATAACTAGGAAATTGAACTAACTGGTCTTCTCGGACTTTCCGTCGGCCCACTTAGAGATGGAGAAGTGGACCTTCTCTCTAGAATTAGGGTTTCAGTGGAACTAGAGATAAATGATCGAGAAGTTCTCACCGTTTTCGATTATCGCTGTCGTCGCCGGAGGTGAAATTAGGGCTTGCAAGTGAAACTGGATATTGTCGTCGTTGTCGTCGTCGCCACCGTCGGTTGAGAGCGGAAGTGGGGAGGGAGAGAGATCGCGAGAGCGGAAGTGGGGGGGGATCAGGAGAGCGGAAGTGGAGAGAGAATAAACCATGTAATTGCAAATGACAGGCCAACAGTTGGGATTTAGAAGTATAGGTGCTAGTATAGGTTTAAAATGTTAATGGATTTGGGTTAATTATTCAGTATTCAAATTCTTTTGTATCTAAACAATAGAATTGAGCCAAATACAGTATTTAAAATAAAATCTCGATTACCAAACGTGCTGTTAATTATATAAACCTTTCTTTTTTTTTTCATAAGTTCCAATTTCCTACTCTTTTACAGCCATAGACGTAATGCACCACTAACTAAATAGGCCACTCTGAAAATGAATGCTGCTGTGATCTGGGAGAAAATTACGCAGGAAATTAGTCATTAGAAAATCTCAACAGAAGTTATAGTATGAAGTCTTTAAACATGTGAAACTTTTCTACAAGCCTGAATTCTATAACAAACATAAAGAGAATAAAATAGGATTATAACAATTATAAAGATTAACAATCACAATTCATGATTTGATTTTGCCACTAATAACAAAGATAAATAAATAAATAAAATAAAATAAAATAAAATTCATGATTCACAAAAAAGGTTCATGATTCTTTTTGATTCTATAAAGAGAGAGTAGTGTTCCAAATCTTCCATTGCTTCTTTTGATTAAGGAATTAGTAGTGATCCAAAATTCCAATAACAATGCAGTATAAACAAAACCTATTCCAAGTTCAGAATTCATCAATTGTTTTACAACTACAATGCAAATTTCAGTTGATAATAAAAAAAATTCCAAGTACAATCTATGGTTGCACACTCAATCTATAATTTTTGAATTTTGACAAAATACAAAAAACAAAAAAAAAACCTTGTCGCCTATCTAGGTCCATAGTATTACAACAATTGTAAGTGTATGATCATCATATATTCGTATATTTTGGATACAAATCTAGATATTTCATTGTATAATCATATTCGTAACCACATCCTATTGGTTATAATTTTTATTAATCATATTTGTATCCTAACGTACACGGATACAAATATATCGACGAATACAAATAGCTTTTGTGCACCCTTATTTGGAAGCAAAAATGCCTCGAGGATCCCAAATAGGAGACACAATGGTGGGACATGTGAGGTGTCACATTCTGAATACATGAAGTATTGTTTCCCCCCTGTAGCAGCACCCATATTGTGTTGTTCGTTTCAATTCGGCTGGCCTCCCTCGGCAAGTTGCCAAACTAGTTCCTCGGCCGGTTGTTCCGCAAATACTATCTTTTGCAGGGACTTTTCTGTAAAAACTAAAGTCTATACATTTCAGAAGCAAATCCCTTATTTCGTCCCCTTTCGTTTTCGTTTGCGCTTTCAGCGATAGTTCTCTCTTCGATCCATCAGTATTTGTTCTCAATCGATCAATGGCAGACCGTGGTAATTTTCTCCGTATTCTCAATTTCATCAGTCTCTGTTTCTGTGTCTTAAATTTTTTGCTTTCGTTCTTAATTTTAGGTGAAAGAGGTCGGCCGTCCAAAAAGCACAAGTCCTCGGCAAAAGTGAGTAATTAGTTTGAAATTCATAAAAATTGAAAAAAGTTGATTCTTCCTTTTAGGCCGCTCAGGTTGTCGAAGAAGAAGAGCTCTATTTCGGAGAAGATTCGGATGATGATAGGCGACGAGGTATTTGTTTTTTTTTCAAAATTGCTGTCCATTTTATTGTGAAATTTTGGATTTTTTTGGGGGCTGAATTGGAAAATTTGGGGTTTTGGTGGACGAAGAAGAATGACTTTACGAAGCTTGAGTTGAAGCCTGATCACGTTAACAGGCCCCTTTGGGCGTGCGGGGACGGCAGGATATTTCTTGAGACGTTTTCTCCTTTGTATAAACAGGCTTATGACTTCCTCATTGCCATTGCTGAGCCAGTGTGCAGGTGATTTGTTGTTGCAACTTCTTAAATTTGATATGGGTTTCATCATTTGTAGTTGAAGTGGATGGAGCATGGCTTTAAATTAATATTTTACTGATTTTAGATGGTTTTGCTTCAGATTTGACATTAGTTCTTATTGTTTAGAGTTTAATCATAGTGTTCTAATAAGAACTCACCCCCAAAAAGTAGTTGTCGAGAGAGGAATGCCAAATCTCTCATAAATCCACAATTGACTCTCGAGTTAATGAATTTGGGACTGAAATGAACCCTAGCCAACAATCCCGCTTCTGTAGGTCATGCGTGACTGGCTCTGCACTAGTCTAGTCCTAGTTGAACGTTGCAATCTCAGTGTTTTGCCCGTGAACAGTCCAATGCCGAGGTCACCGCTCATGCCTCTTGTTTGCGAGTGAGAAGGTTTGACTCTAATGCCATCTGTCGGAGACGCTCATCCCTAAAAGCTAGAAATTAGAGAGAGGGAATCTTGATCTCATATAAAACCACAATAGATTAAACCCATTTAGTTAATATGGGACTAACTAGACCATAACATAGTCTGTTCATGCATGCTTTCAATCTGATTACATTGTTTTCGCCGAGTTTGCTGGCTTCCTCAGAAAAAGCAAGATTTATTTTTATCTAGTCAATTTGATATAGATTACAGCTAACACATGACTGTGAACTGGATTGTGGTTGCTCTTCTTGTAGCATTATATGTGTTGGCCTTCTTGTTTTGATGATGATTTAACAAACAATTTACCAATATGCATTATAAAATCAAAAAAACAATCAAAACAAATATTCTATACCGCACATTTTTCTCCCCCTTTGACAACATCAAAAATGGGGAAAACACACAATGAGAGCTAAAAGCCCCCCCTACATGTAAGCACATGTGAGAATATGGAAATAGGGAATTCTCCCCCTATTTAAAAGACTGAAAGAATGGTTAGCCACACAAAATATGAATAGATAATGGTTGTTAAGCAAGAATGCGCAATGAACATATATAATCACAACCACATGGTCCACATCCACACAATAACATATGATCACATAAAGGCATCATGAACTGTTATAACAAACTCTCACATGTTCATTACAAACCAAAACAACTAATCAATCAAGTGCCATACAAACATAGTGTTTAACAATAAACAAGATCACTACATCAAAATGTTCACAAAACATAAACTAAGTACATATACGGAAAAAAACATCCAAACATATAATATCTGCATCAGGAAGAGGATAGTCCTGGACCCGGAGAGGGAGTAGATGGCTGCAACAAACTGAGGATAGCATCAAGCTGACCCTCCAAGCCATCGGCCTTGCCAATCACCTCATCACGAATCTCCTCCTGCCTACGCTCAAGATCCCTCAAGCGCTCATAAACTCCTTCCTCCAAGCTATCTATGTGATGAGCCATCGAATCATGAATACGAGAAGAAGCAGGATGGGAGTGGTGAGGAGGTCTATATGAAGAGTCAAAGGAAGACTCATGAGATCCTGTAGGTTCTGGAGATCTAGGTGGGGGCTCAGGAGTAGGGAGACGATCCAAGGCGAATTGGGTAGGAGGAATACTCATTCGTTTGAGAGCAGAGGTGTCAAAGAAATGTTTGATTTTAACAGACGTTTTCCCAGATAGATCGACATGGAAGTGGGAGAAGATCTTGGTGAGAATGGCTCCATAGGGTAAGAATTTTGTATGAGTGGAGGCCATTATATCAAAGAATATTCTACCCTACAAGATATCCCGATTGTCAATAATGGCATAGCTGGCATAAGTGAGATCAAGGGAATAATTATCATAACCCCCGGTTTTGGGGATTATGTTATAACTGATGATACGTCTGACGATCTTAGCTAAGAATGAGATATTGTTAGACTTTAAGGGAAGGTGCCTACCGGGTAGAGTCATTAAGGAGATAACGGAAGAGTCATCACCCATGATATCACCTAGCAGTGTGTCACCCCTAGGTATATCGAGGGTCTCGAAAAGCTGATTGGCTGTAAATAAGATTTGTCGACCCTTAACGATAGATGTAATAAAATGAGTGTTAGGATTTGTGGAGTCAACTTGTAAATTTGCGTAAAATAATCTCACCAAATGTGGATAATATGGGGGAGGATGACTACTATCAAACAAATTAAACAAGTGAGCAGCTTTGAAATATGTACTAATATCAAAATGATTACAGTCCTCAAAATTTACGAATCTCCCGGGGAAAAATTTCGGTTGGCATAATGAGCGGTACTTCCCAAGAAGGGCGGGACTCCGCAAATACTATTCGTAAAACTGACTCAAATTGCTTTTAGGTTTTTAAATTTTATCTGCGTATTTATTTGTTTGGTTCTGAACCCGACCCGCTTCACTTCTAAATCCCGGCCGTCCATTTTATTTGTGAGATCATCCTGGCCGTCGAAAGTTCTCTATACCCAAAACCACTGTTCTTCCCCATTTCAAACCGATCAACGTTCAATCTCAGTCGACTAGCGATCTTCTTCCCCATCGTTTCCTTCCGTCATTCATCTAGTTCCAGTCGTCCGTCAAGCGCAAATTTCCCTTTCATTGGTATAATCTCTCTCTCCTCTCTTATCAATTTTGTGAAATCTCAGTTTTAGGGTTTCTGTCATTTTTAGGGGTTGCATTTTCTTCATTTTTATCAAATCATTATGCAAAGGGGTAACCTTAAACATCCCAGGTCTTGCAGAGGAAGACCATCTTCCTCTCAAGCTCCCAATCCCCCTCCTCGAGCCCCTCGAGTTCCATCTCCGCCCCCCCACTGAAAACTTTTAGTTTTACGAACAGTATTTGCGGAGTCCTACCCTTCCTGGGAAGTACCGCTCATTATGCCAACTAAAATTTTTCTCCGGGAAATTCGTAAATTTTGAGGACTGTAATCATTTTGATCTAAGTACATATTTCAAAGCTGCTCACTTGTTTAATTTGCTTGATAGTAGTCATCCTCTCCCATATTATCCACATTTGGTGAGATTATTTTACATAAATTTACAAGTTGACTCCGCAGACCCTAACACTCCTTTTATTACATGTTTCTATAAAATTTAGAATCTTTTACGAGATGCTTGGTTGTTATTTGTTATTAACAATGTTTGTTTTATGTGTTTGATGGAAATAATGCTTCTTGTTGTTAATGTAGTATTTCTTATTTAACTTTATGATATATGTTTTCCATGTTCCAACTAAATGGCAAGAAAGTTTCACATGCTATTCGTCACTTTAGACTTAAATCTTCTTTCAAAAGGTTTCAACTAAATGGCAAGAAAGTTTCACATGCTATTCGTCACTTTAGACTTAAATCTTCTTTCAAAAGGTTTCTCCTGTCCTGGATAAAGAATTTATAGCCCCCATCTGAGCTAATCTTGAATATAAACCATGGTTAACATTCTTGTTAATCTGGATGTAGGCCAGAGTCTATGCATGAGTACAACCTAACACCTCATTCTCTCTATGCTGTTGTGTCGGTTGGGCTTGAGACCGAGACAATCATAAATGTCTTAAACAAGCTATCAAAGACTAAGTTGCCTAAGGAGATGATAGATTTCATCCATGCTTCCACCGCCAATTATGGGAAAGTGAAACTCGTGTTGAAGAAGAATCGATACTTTGTGGAGTCACCTTTTCCGGAGGTACCATTCTGAACCTAGTGTTTTAATTTCATTTTTTGGTATAATTAGCGATTTATTGCTTTACTTGCTTAATGATGAAGTTCATTTGGTACTCTAGGTGCTGAAGACATTGCTTAGGGATGATGTCATATCTCGTGCGAGGATTTGTTTTGAGGTATATTGCTTCCATGGAAACATACTTTATAATTCCTTTCTCAGAATTTAAGATGATTAGTATGATACCAATTGACTTGAGAATATTTTATTTTTATTTCTGGAAACTTGTATTATCAATTGTCATTTTAGAACTATATGATATCCACCTATAGACCATTGTTTTAATATATTGCTTGTGGGGAAGTCTGATTTTACCATCAGATTGATGTTAGTCATGATTAGGTTAATTTTAAACATTTTGCTTTCTACTTTGATTCTTGGATCCATCATACGTGGAATTTTCTGGTACAGTTGATTTTTCAATCAATTTTAAAATATTATATACTATGTTAGGTTTTCAATTGGTTCTTTTCACTTTGAAGCCTGTCAAAAGGACTATGGTCTGTCCATGTGGAGCCCTCCCTCTCTTGGTGCAGATTCCATGTAACCATCAGCACATGAAGGGTAGTCTTTCAATCTTAGTGGTCTACTTGGCGTATCCTTCTGATGCGCACTCTTAAGGTTGTGCAAAGGAGCAATCCCTTAACTTCCTATCTGAAGGAGGATCTACATTAAGGGGTAATATGAAATTTATTATAGGGAGTTACACTAATCTCTAGGAGACAAATAAATCCAAAGATCTATAATATCTTGATTAATTTTGTGGGATATATTGAAACAAATTTGCTCAGCATTTGTTACCATTTTAGCGGATCACTTTGCATGGAGTAGTGGATGTCATTCTCTTAATCTTCATTAAGGTTAAAATATTTATTGAATGGTTTGTGTTAGGGAACCTACTTAAGCCTTTTGCAAGGAGAAGAGGCTAATATAGTCTCATGGTTGTCTATATATATTATATACTAACTGTGATATCAACTATTTTTGTACAGCTACTTTCCTGCAACAAAAAAAAGAAAAAGAAAAAAAGATCTTATGTTTACATTTTCCCTTCTTTCTGGAGCATACTTTGTTCCAATTTATAATTTATGTGTTGACCTGAAAGGCACTTGTGCTTAGTGGATTCTTATTTTCATCCATTTTATTTCCATTTGATAAATTTGACTGTGTAAAATTCCAGAAACCCTGTCATCTGAGAATGTAACATATTTTCTATGTCCCTGTCTGTTATCTGTAATGAAACTTGGTTGTCACACTGAAGATGAAAATTGTTCTGCATATGAAGATGTATCAGATATACTGTTGTTTCTGATTCTTCCATGGGTAATGACTTGAAGTTTTCACTTTGTTTATCTATATGAATTTCTCTCATTTGAAGTATTCCATTTTGGTTTTGGAGTTCTTACAAATGTCGTTGGTGCAAGTATAAATCTTTACCCCTTTTTGTTCTTTCGCTTGCCAATAATCATGTATCTTGTTTTTCCCCCTCATTGATTTCACCAACTGCAAAGTGTAGAATAATGTTGGTGAAAATGTTTGTTTCTTCCCTTTCTCTGTAATTTATATTTCTTTTTGTGAACCTATTTCAGGGTCATCATGAAGGTGGTTCATTTACAATTAGCAAAACGGCTGGAGAAATAGAAGGTGGCCATGATGAGTTGCTGAATGGTGTAGACTTAGCTGCTGCTGCTGAAGAGAAAGAAACACATTCCTTTGAAATTGATCCTGCCCAGGTACTTTGTTCTTTGCATTACAAGGAACCAGCTATGTTTAAGATACTTAAAATGTCTCTTGGGAAATTATTTCGCATTACAGGTTGAGAACGTGAAGCAAAGATGTTTGCCTAACGCCTTAAATTATCCTATGCTGGAGGAGTATGATTTTAGAAATGATACGGTGAGTTATACTTTCCATCTATGATATTATTTAATAAGTATTTGATAAGAAGGCTTATAATTGCAATGCATAACTTCCTTTCTATGCATGTAGCAACGAAATGTTCATGTAATTTACTGATTGGTTCTATGCTTTGTATTTGTGTGGAAAGCTGATCAATTCAGAAAATTTTTGTAAAGGCGATGCTTATGTCATGAGAATATATGCATGCTGCAATTAGATTTAGCAATTAATAAGATTTGTTCTCCTGTTGACATTTTTCCATATGAATACAATTTCAGGCCATACTGAATTAAACAATATGTTTCATTCTGTAATTTGGTCCTCGCAGGTGAACCCAGACTTGAACATAGAATTGAAGCCGCAAGCACAACCTAGACCATATCAAGAAAAGAGTCTCAGCAAGATGTTTGGGAATGGTATTTACTTCACTGCGTGACTTCCTACATTCATGTTCACACTCATGATAATATTTGCAGCCATCTTGTGATAGGTTTTGTCCCCTTCTCTTCTCTCCTTCTGGACTTAAAAAATCGAACCTAGGTTCACAGTGGGATTAAGGACACAAATGAGGTGCATTAAGAGCATCTTAGCTGAACCTTCCCTGCACTGGCTCTAAATAATGAAAATTTCTTCCTCTTGAAGAAAATTACTGAGGGTAGTAGTTTTGGTGAATGGGGTTGGAGATTGCTTTCCCAGGTCAGATAATAAAATAATTGGTCTATGTGCAGACTTGAAAACCTTGGAAAGGATGTGCAGTGACATCAGAAGCTCAATATAAGTTCATGTAGCTAAATTTTAGCTTGTATGGCATCAAATGGCTCGTAATGGGCCTTAGTAAATCACCTAATTGCTGCATTTGTAGGATTTGGAGTAAAATATGACCAGTTATATTATGTAGCTTAAAGATTGACTATCTCAAAAATCTTCCTAAAATTCTGTCAGGTTTCGTATCAACATTGTTGTGTTTTAGACTATAATATCTTTGGAAGACCTATTATCTGTATATTATTTTTTCTTTCAGCAACTTCATGAGATGTTTTATCTTGAATAAAGGCTTATAGATTGTATGTCGGCTTATAGTTTTACATGCAGTTTTACTTGAAGGATTTTGATAATGTTAATTTGTAGGAAGAGCAAGGTCTGGCATTATTGTTTTGCCTTGTGGTGCTGGAAAGTCTTTGGTTGGTGTCTCTGCGGCATGTCGAATTAAGAAGAGCTGTCTTTGCTTAGCTACCAACGCGGTCTCTGTGGATCAATGGGCTTTCCAGTTTCAGCTTTGGTCTAATATAAAGGAAGAACATATTTGTCGGTTTACATCTGATAACAAAGAAAGATTTCGTGGCAATGCTGGTGTGGTTGTCACCACTTACAACATGGTTGCATTTGGTGGAAAAAGGTCTGAAGATTCTGAGAAAATCATTGAAGAAATAAGAAATAGAGAATGGGGTTTGCTTCTTATGGACGAGGTGAAGATCTTTCTCGAGAAGATCACTAGATAAATTTGTCTCACAAGATAACATGTGAAACATTACTTATGACAACTCGTTTTGACACCATATAACATTTTCCTTGACTTTTCTTACTGATTTTGTTAAATTTTGATGTATACCAAAATTCTGATGTCTACGTATATGCCTTCACAGGTGCATGTTGTTCCTGCACACATGTTCCGGAAGGTCATTAGCATTACTAAGTCTCATTGCAAGCTTGGACTTACTGGTTAGTGCTTCCCAGACTGAGGTCACATTCATTCTTGTTTCCTGTTTACCTTTTTTGTATTATTCTGCTTTTTCTGATCGCCTCTTTACATTTTCAACAGCAACGCTAGTGAGAGAGGACGAACGTATCACAGATCTCAACTTTCTTGTAGGACCAAAATTGTATGAAGCTAATTGGTTGGATTTGGTAAAAGGAGGGTTCATAGCTAACGTTCAGTGTGCTGAAGTGTGGTGCCCCATGACGAAGGAATTCTTTGCAGAGTATTTGAAAAGGGAAAATTCTAAAAAGAAGCAGGTAAATGTTATACTACGATCTAGGAATCTCAACCCAAGGTATTGAATTTGGAAGTCTATAGTATATTTTTATGGAGAGTTGAAGACTGTGGGACTCACATTATTGTATTGTGGCTCAGATATGAAAGTGATGCTCTGAAATTTTTTTATCTTTCCCCTTTGTATACCTTTCCCTCGCATAGAATGTTAAAAAGTTTGCCATCATGGTTTCATGGTTTGAGATAATTTGATGAACATGAATTTCCCTTGTGGTTCATCAAAGTCTTCCATTGCTCGTAGTTAGCTTTGCTAGTAGTACTGGATGCAAGTGGAAGCTTGTTTACTGTGCTGTTATCAGGCTACAAGTTTTTTGTTCTAGTTCTTTTGTGTCACTCTCTCCTTGATCTTTGAATAGGAAAGAGGCTTGTATTTAGATAATTGATCATAGTGATGGTCTATGGATAGAACCGAGTACATTACCTGTCTTAGGCAGCCATCTGGTACCTTCCTTTTGAATTCAAACTTCTGATTACCTGTCTTAGGCAGCCATCTGGTACCTTCCTTTTGAATTAAAACTTCTGATCATCATAGTGTTTCTGTCAGTAGTGTGTGATCTGTGTTTGGTGTCATCTTATATATGCGTAGCACCTTGACTAGTTTTGCAGTTATAAGATTGCTGATACAGGATTCTTTAAAACTTTTTCAACAAGCTTTGAAGATTTTCCTCAGATGGATACGTTGAATGGTGAATGTAATTGTTTTGACATAATATAGGTTTTGTAGCATTGAAGGAAATTAACACACTACTGGTTTCGAGGGTTCTTCCATACTTTTGAGAATATAGAGCGGAAGAAGATAAGGTAGAAAAGTGAAAGATTAAGATTCAGTCTTTAACACAGGTCAAGTTTTTTTGCCGCACAATCTAATTACTTTTACTAATTTTGTCCTCTTGTACTAGATCTAGAACTAGAGAGTGGATAACCTATATAGACCTTTGTATCAACTTCCAAGGCGTCATGAATAGTGTTTAAATCAATCTGGTTTGATCTAATTTTGCAAACGATTCATCACGACATTGACAGTCATGATACTCATTTCCCTTGTTTCTCTTGGATATCCTGGTAGAAGAATTATAGGTTTCGTAGCATTGAAGAAAATTAATACACAGCTGGGTTCGAGGGTTCTTCCATACTTATGAGAATATGGAGAGGAAGAAGAGAAGGGAGAAAAGTAAAAGAGTGAGATTCAGTCTTTAACTCAGGTCAAGTTTTTTCTCACACAATCTGATTACTTTTACCATTAGTAACTAGTTATTAGATTGTGTGACAAAAAACTTGACCTGAGTTAAAGACTGCAATGCATCTTACTCTTTTACTTTTCTCCCTTCTCTTCTTCCTCTCCATATTCTCAAAGGTATGGAAGAACCCTCGAACCCAGTAGCGTATTAATTTTCTTCAATGCTACAAAACCTAAAATTCTTCTAACAGGATATTCACGAGAAACAAAGGAAATGAGTATATGATTATTTTTACTAATTTTTTCCTCTTGTACAAGATTTAGAACTAAAGAGTGGAGAACCTAAGTAGACCTTTGTATCAACTTTGGCATCATGAATGCCTAAATCAATCTGGTTTGGTATAATTTTCCAAACGATGCACCGTGACATTGACAGTAGTGATACTCATTTCCCTTGTTTCTATTGGATATACTGTTAGAAGAATTATGTCGACCTCACAGATTATGATCGAGTATTTTACAATTTCCACATATGTATATCCTTATATCCCTTAGTAAGACTCCAAACACATAAAGATGCTCTCTGATATTCTGCCTAATTAGTATTACAATTCTTGCCTGAAAGAAGTTACAAATCAAATAATTAGCTCGTCGTATTGACGTTTTCATATGGCTCCTTGCATCCGCCTAGAATTTGTATAAATGTCGAAAGTCACTTGTATGTTACCTTAAAAAATGTCACTTGACCTGGACGATGCCCCAGAAAACTATCTTAGATGTTTGACTTAGCAGGAAAACCATATATAGCCTACTCCAAAAAATCTTTGTTAGCTTATGTATTGTTCTGATTCTTCTGAACACGATAAAAAGCCCCTTCAGAAAGCAAACTGAATGTCATTTGCACCATACCATTCATGGCTTCCTCTTTTTCCGAGAAAAGGACCGGAGTGCATTCTTGAAACTGATTGACGTAGTACTTCGTGAGATAGAATAAAGATAAAATCTATGGAGCTCAAGGAGCAATCCTGATCTTCAGGAAAGAAGAGAGGATGCAGTAATGAAATATTAGGAAGTCGATATTTGCAAATCATAATCCTCCATGAAATATTCCTTGGCTCCCATAATGTGTTTCATGTTGCCAGTTTTAGTCTCTTAAACAAGCTCTATAATGAACAATAAATCCTTTCGATTTTAAGAGTGTTAATTATGTCTAATTTTGCAAAAGGCCTCAGATGGTATGCATTTGTGTTGATCCTCCCATATGGGTTATTTTAAGAAGATGACATTGCTCCACTTGACACAGCTGGTTACCCGATAGTATCTAATTACCTGTCATCATCTCATCTTGTAATCTGGTTCCAACTAGAACAAACTATTTTCTATTTAGCAAACTTAAACATAATCCCTAAATTTATAAAGAACACATCCCTAAGTAAATAATGAATCCTTGTTGCTGAACTTGTTTTATTTCTTGCTATTGTCTGATGCTTCCTGACCCCTTTATCGTGGACAATTTCGTCTTCACTGCACAATCTTCTAGGAATTAAAGTTCTGAATATCTTACCAACTTTTTGTGTTTGATTTCAATATCCTAGTAAAAATTTCCAAGGTATTCTGAGGTAACAATTAGGCAATAGATGATAGAAATGTAAAATTTAAGATATAAATTAGTTAGAAGTGGAGGGTTTGAAAAATTAGAATGATACGTTTCTGACTAGTTGCAAAATATATGTATTAGTTAGAAAGAGTTTGTTAAGCTCAAGTTAATTTGTTTAGGCTTCATTGCTATGATATGTCTTGACAGTTTCCCCAACAAGAAATTGGTATCTTGCACAAACCTGGACGCAACATGTATGACCATCCATACCCGATGCTTACAATCTGTAAACTACTATTTACCTTAAAAGTTGTATGTAAGCTAGACGATGTTTGACCCTTTGACGAAGAGTAATTACCTTATAGATCACTTATTATAATTATGTCCTTTTATATATAGATAGCAACAAACACCCATAATTATATGAGTCAAATATGCATGTATTCAAAAGAGATACATATAGCGGTGTCCTTATTTGTGGAATTTGGATAATAGTTGTGTCGGAGCATGACATTCCTGGCTATGCCGAACTATCATAGGAAGCTTTTGATTCTGTGTGAAGTCTTCGGCAAACTCAAGTTAATATGTCTATGCTACCTTGTTGAGACACTATAAATAGGAAAGGTTCATTGAAACCATGTACCATTTAGTAACCTAGTATCGAAATGGTGTGATTTTATCGCCACTTGTCTCTTATATTTTTCGTATCTGCTGTGTGCATCCTTGTGCATCTATGAGAATTGAGTGATTTAACTGCATCTTGTTTTCTGCTCCATATAACTTGCTGCACTTGTACCACATATCGGCATACTTTTAAATGATTCTGCCATTTGTATCACCAGGCACTTTACGTGATGAATCCAAACAAATTCAGAGCCTGTGAATTTCTGATTCGCTTTCATGAGCAACAACGTGGTGATAAGATTATTGTGTTTGCTGATAATCTTTTTGCCCTCACCGCATATGCAATGAAGCTAAGGAAACCTATGATATATGGTGCAACCAGGTATCTTCAGTAACAATGACTTTTTCCCCTCTTGCATTTTAATTTGGCAACCCTAATAGCTTGTAATTATTCTTAATAAATGATTTCAGCCACGCTGAGAGGACAAGAATTCTTAAAGCATTCAAATGTAGCCCGGATGTTAATACAATTTTCTTATCTAAGGTATGTATTCAAACTTGATTATGATATTTGATTTATGTATTTTTTAATGATAATTTTCCCTTTGTTTCATATTATGTAAATAACTGTCAGCATCCTGGAGTCTTTTTGAGAGTAGCAAGGCTAAATTGCAGATCTACATGTTTTTCATAATATAAATATGTAGAATTACTCTAAGGTGCTTCTGTAGAAGCCATATGTGATCATGAGAGCTCTAATATTGGAGTCTTTAATATTACCAAAGCGTAAGTTTGACTATATCAATTGAGTAATGTTCCAACAATATGTTTTATTAATACTAGTCGTGAAATTAGACCTGTGATATTGGTAATGTATGAAAATGGACATAAGAAAAGTTACCATGTGCTTGTTGAAAATTTGTCTTTGCGGTTATAGAATTGTTTTTTAACTCCAGGCTACTAATTCTTCTGTTTTTATGTGTGCACTTCAGGTGGGTGACAATTCGATAGATATTCCTGAAGCTAACGTGATAATACAAATATCATCTCATGCTGGTTCAAGACGTCAAGAAGCACAACGGCTGGGCCGTATTCTTAGGGCAAAGGTACTCTACTCATGATACCCAACAAGACGTCAAGAAGCACAACGGCTGGGCCGTATTCTTAGGGCAAAGGTACTCTACTCATGATACCCAACTTATTCCATTTAGGGTGTCAAGGAAATATTATGACATAAGGGTGTAAGTTCTGGAGCTGTTCAACATTGAGTTGTTCTTTTATCTTATTGCACACTGATAGGTAGTAAATACTACGTTCTCCAGGATGGAATTATGGTCAGCACGCAGATCCCCAAAATTGGAATCCGTTCAAGCAGCATAAAAGAACTGTCACTATGTTATATAGTTTCAAAAATAATTATCCAAGACAAGGAAACAAATTGATTAATGAGATGCAAAAGAATATTATTGGTTGCATGATTTATGTGTGTGCACATGTATATTTTTACATATATGCATGTATTTTCCTGCACTTATGTGATCACACAACTATCTAGATCAAGGTTTAAAATCGATCTCGATATATTATTGTTGTTGGCTGATAATTTATGGCACCCGTTCTGGTGGTTTTGGATTTGAAGTATTAATTTAGGTCTAGGTGCTTAAAAAAGGTTCAACTAACTGAAAATCGTTCAGATCATTAAATTGTTTGATATGGTTTTTTGAATAATCATTTGGTTCTTATTTTAATGTAACTAGAAATGTGCACGAGCTTTGCACATGGACATGCTATTTCTTTTTTTGCACGTGGGCATCTTGTTTTGCTTTATGTTTTGAAATATTTTTGTTGATTGAATTAATGACTTTTATAACAATTAATTTTTTTAACTTGAACAATTAAAATATTTATTAAATAAATAAAATTCTGTATAAAGAATTGTATAAATAATAAATAAAATTCTGTATAAAGAATTGTATAAATAATTATTATAATTTGGATTATTATTGTTATTTAATATAATTTATTTAAATATATACAACATATTAGATAACTATTCTTATTTATAATAATTTATTTGTACATAATTGTTCTTATTTATAATAATTATACATAGAACAATTATAATACTATTAATAACTATATAATAATTTATGAAATGATTTAATAAATTATTTTATTATACTATTATTATATAATTTATTTAATAGTATAATTATTAGGAAAAACTGTGTCTAGACCCCAAAATTGGAACCCTATGTGACCAATGACCATAACCTCAACTTTGGGTGATGTTCTTAGGCCCACTGACCCAACTTTTTATTTGAAGAAGTCCCTTTTTAGTGTCGCCTAAGTGGAGAGAAATTTTTTTTTTAATCTCGAAACTATCCTCACCCTCAGCTTCTTTACCTCCCTTTTTTCTCATGAGACCATGACTTTTTTTTTTCTTGTTTTTCTTCAACCATCATCTCTTCCGTCACCACCTCAGCTATTGCATCCTCTTTTTCTGCTCATCCTTTCTTAACCATTGTATTTTTCGCTGTCACGATATCTTCTTATCATTTTTCCTCTTTTCTCAACCATATCTTCTTCTTTCAAAACAGTTGCCGCATCGCTTGAAAGACCGTTTCCTTTGACGAAAACGACCCTCACTTAAAAAATTGCTGAAATTAACATCTAACTTATATAGTTAACATTTAACCATTAAAGTTTGTGAGACCTAAATTAAAATCTTACAATTTAACTTACCATATGAGATCTACAGTTAATATCTGACAAATTTAAAGCTTTTATATTAGTTTCTAAAGTCGGTTGTTATCTTCAGACCTCACATGTTAACTTTAACCGTTAGATGTTAAAGTTAGAACTCACATGCTAACTTTGATTGTTAGAGATTAATATTAACTGTTAAGTGTTAATTTCAGCATAATTTTAGGATATGACCGTTTTAACTAGATGAGATAGCCTTTTAAGGATGCAACGGCGGTTGTGGAGTAAGAAGGAGAAGATTGAGGAGGACAGAGAGGAGTATGGAAGTGAAATAGAAGAGGAGGTAGGGAATGGGAGGAAAAATAAGATGAGATGAAGAGATGAGGAAGGAGGAGGAAGGAGGACGAGGGAGGAGGGAGGAGGATGGAGTTGAGATGAAGGGGAGAGGAGGAGAATGAGGCTGGGTGAAGGGTAGAGGAGAAGGAAGGAGGATGCATGGAAGATAGGAGGGTGAGGTGGGAGGGCGGAGGTTGGTGGAGGATGGAGGTGGGACGAAGAAGAGGAGAGGGAGGATGGAGGT